GAGAGAGAGAGAGACGGTTCGATATTTTCTACGCGGCTTCTCCTCTTTCCACACATCGTTTTCACCTTCCGCCCCAACGGTCGCTTCCTTCGGACAGAGTTTCTTCGATAAGAAACGACGGTTATTAAGACTAAGCTGGGATTGGCGGAGCAGCACACGTTTCCGTGTGTGTGTGTGTGTGTAAGCGCGTTAAATAAAGTTGCAATTAAAAGAGCTAAAAGCTGCGGCGGCGCTGTCGACTCTACCACGCACACACATATACACACGTCTGTTCTCTCAAGGCCTCGGGCCTCGCCAGAGCGTACTTCCGCTTCTGATTAGCTTCCTCTTTTCCCACATCGTCCTCCTCCTCCTCCTCCTTTTTTTACCTCCGTTCCCCTCCTCTTCTTCCTTTTCTCTTTCTTCCTCCTTTCCCTCTCTCCCTTTATCTCTCCACCCGTCTCTTATCTCGCACCGTGGGAATCCGCGCGTGCGATTCGCGCCGCGAAAGAGAAGAAAAAGAGGGAGAGAGAGAGAGAGAGAGAACAAATTCTCGAGTTCTCTCGGCTCTCCTTTCGGCTCCACCAGTTTTCTAACCACCACTTTCGCGCCTCCTCCTTCTTTTAACAATTCTCTGCGCAATTCCGTTCTCGATGCAAGATCGAGAGATGTTGGAAAAGTTACGTAAAGAAAAAGAAAAAAAAAAAAGAAAAAAGAAAAAGAAAAACGTTAGCGTTCCCCGGGCGAATGGAAAAGATCGCAGAGAGAGAGAGAGAGAGAGAGAAAAAGTTGGCCGCGCCGATTTTCAACGGTTCAAGAGACGGCGGCGGTCGAAGGCGAAAATGTTTCGCTCGCCTGCCGTGCACTTTCACTCGGAGCCGCCGCCGAGTTTCGCCGAATCGGCAGATACGACGATTACATCGCGCGATTCCCTGCCCAACGGAACGCCGCTTCGTCCTTCCTTCCCCTCGTTTCACGGTCAACCGGAATTAAATTAAAACTCGATCCTTCTTTTCTTCCATGGGGCGAGGGGACGGGAGGTTGGAAAAAGTTGAAATTTCTCTGGAATCGAGATGGAAATACGAATCGACCTTGAACACTCGATATACTCGACGATCGAGAAATATTCATTGGCTCAATGAAAACCTGTGCCCTTCGAGTCGAGCTCGAGCACAATTTTCACGATTCGAAGCCCGTAAACAGCGCGGCGGAATGTTATGCTCGACTTTTGTCGGAATTATTATCGCGCGCGGACCGTTTTCCTCACCCACGCAATCGTCGAGGAAACAACGTAACAATCTCTTTCTGCCCGACTGAAAAGTCAATTACCAACACACGTGAGAATATACACGCTCGCCTACTTGGACAGCTTAGCTATCGTTCAACACGAACGAACACGAATACTTGGCTCCGTGCCAAACTTTTTTTTTTCCTTCCCTCTTTTTCTATCGAGTGTTATTCTCCCTCTCTCCCTCTGTCTGTCTCTGTCTCTCTTTCCCTCGAGCGAGGGAAATGATGGAGAATACGATTCGAAGGAGGAGGAAGGAAGAAAGATACTACGATTCTTGGGCGAAAAGTTTGGGGCCAGGCGTGCAACACGGTACTCGTGGTATTTTCGCTGGTATTTTCCTCTTCCCTCGGCGGCGGCTCGTGGCGATTGTAAATCTCGGGGGGCCCCGGCCACACGGCGTGTAACAGCGGCCACGAGTGTACACGTCCGCCAACCCTTTCTACCTTCCCTTTCA